CGACTCCTTCACCTACCTCTACGACCAGACCCAGGACGTCGCAAAGAGCTACCGCGCAGCATGCACCCCGGACGCCTACCTCTTCGACAAGGACCTCAAACTCGTCTATCGGTAAGCCCCGCCCGCGCACCGCCGCACCCTGTTGTCTCCCGCCCCCCGCCTCACTCTTGCCCTCACCCCGCATGCTCACCGCCCCTCCGTCCCCCACCCACCGCTTCCGCGCGCGCGCTACGTAGTGGCCAGATCGACGACTCCAGGCCCGGCAACGGCAAGCCGTCTAACGGCAAGTCCATCCGCGACGCCGTCGACCTCGTGCTCGACGGCAAGCCCGTGCCGGAGGAGACCATGAAAGGCTCGATTGGCTGCAACATCAAGTGGAGGAAGGGGAATGAGCCGGACTACTTTGGATAGTCGTCTGGGCAATTGTGTGCCGTCCGCCGCAGCGGGGACCACGTCTCAGGCGGTTGGGCGTTTCGCGCCGCAGTGAGCGCAGAGCAACTGCTCAGCAAGTGCCCGCCACTCTGTCGGTAAAGAGTGTCCTCGCCACTTGTGGTGAAAGATGTAAAACGGGTTTTGCCTTGCTTGTGCGTGCAGTATTAGATCCAATAAACTCCCGTGCCGTTGGCCAACGACGTGAGGGAGGAATGACTGAGAGTCATATGAAGGAATCATCAGAGAAGGAATCATTGCAAAGTGGGAATGAGCAGATGAGTGAAATTGAAGGGGATGACTGAAACGCATTGGCGTTGAAGGAATCACCACAATCCAATAAACTCCCGTCAACAAGGAAGCATAATTCAGAGGCAGAGAGACGGGTCACGATCCATTCGGAAGTTCGGAAGGATTGGATGTTGACAATGACAATCCGCGCAGTCTTTCCTGCACGCACAGTAGTTTATTGGTTCCATGCATGCATGCATGACATGCATGGAAAGAGGAGCTGCAAACCATACATGCTTTCCAAGGTGAGGCGGAACGGAAAGCCACACTGTCGAGATCGGTTTATGGTCCGCCTCCATCTCCAGGCCGACCCTCTGGCAAAGGGACGCAAAAGATTTACTTTGCCATTGCAGATTAATCAGCACCATGTCCTGCGCGAGAGGAAGAGAATATATCCCACATGATGCTTATGCAGTTTTACAATAATGTCAGTTCTGTGTGCGTGTGTTTCAAAAGTTACGCCTATCTATGTCCGCGTGGTCCGTCACAAACCAGGATAAGGTTGCGCCATGCCATTCACAGAATGTCTTGTGGGAGCTAGACTCGGCCCTGGCCTATAAGGAGGGGGCCCACCTCCGCCGTAGGGACCGGAGTGCGGAGGGCGATGAGGATGAGCTCCACCGTGCTCCGGACCCACGGTCTGTACACCCATGCCCGGAACAGGCGGAACAGGGCCCATACCAGGCAGTCCACCGCCGCAAGGCATTGTTTCGTTGTGCTGCAACATGCCCCCCGCTCCAGGTGGAGGCATCATCATCCCTCCCACTCCAGGTGGAGGCATCATCCCTCCCACTCCAGATGGAGGCATCATCCCTCCCACTCCAGATGGAGGCATCATCCCTCCCACTCCAGGTGGAGGCATCATCCCTCCCACTCCAGGTAGAGGCACCATCCCCCCCACTGATGGACCATATCTAGGCGGTTGTGGAGTGCTGTTGTACATATTGTTTCCAAGTGGCGGGTTTCCGTGCATAGATTGCAATTGATCATGTGCTGCATATCCATTCGGTGACGCATAGCCTTGTGGTGGGCCAACACCATGCACTCGTGGACCGTTGTCTGCATAAGGGGATCCCTGTGGTGGGTAGCCGGGTTGTCTTTGAGCGAAACCAGGATGTTGTAGCCCAACTCCTGGACCATTGGGACATGGAGTTGCCAGACGAGGATCGTGGGCCTGGGGATCTGACCCGTAAACTCCAGATATATACTGCGTTCCCTTCCTTCCATACTTGTGTGAGGAGCTAGCATTCTGAGCGGGGCCCCTGAACGATGCTGGACGGGTCAAACCATTATTTGCATCGTAAGGAGGAATCCTATTGCACAATGAAGATTGGTGTTGCAGCTGTTGGGGATTTGGCTGTGGGGCATGTGGGTACGGCTGCGCGGCATAAGGTTGCTGTAAATTGTTTGAGCCACCCATGCCATACGCTGGCATTGAGTGACGGGAGCTTATTGCCGGCTGAGTCATTTGAGAGGAGGTATCAGAATACGCAGTTAAACAGATATCGGAATGTTGCGCACCCGGCGTATGGCCCGTCGTGTACAAAGAACGACGATATCGGTCGTCCGGAATAGATGCTTGGTAGATGTCAGGACTTGGTGTGTACTTTGGGGGGTCGGCCACATAGTGTGAATTCACAGGCTTCCCTGATAAATACGCTTGGCCTGGTGGTCGTGCCCCAACGTGTGCATAGGGATAATGCGATGCTGACGTGTGCTCCTCATAGATTTGTGTAGCAGGGGCACAATCCGGATGATAAAGTGGCTGTCCACTGGCGTATCCTGGAGGTGGTTTACGAAACTCTCCGGGTGGTGATTGCGGTGCGTTGGAGTAAGAAGAAGAGGTTGGAGCTTGGAAGCTAGAGGCGTTCGTGGCATACATTTTGCAACGCCCTTCAGGCGCTTGTGGGTTCACGTCTTCAGGGTATGGTGAGGAACGTCTGTCAAGTGCTTGCGGTCTCATGTCTTCGACCAGTGCGTAGGACGGCTGTGCATTGACTGATTCGTCGTGATGAGAGATCTGCCGCCCAGACTGAGTGAAACGCTGAGATGATGGCAGCATAGCGCTTGGGCATTGTACCCTCCGCATTTCAGGCCCGTTCACATAGTGTGGATGCGTGTGAGGAATTGAGCTGGTTTGATCTGGATATCCCCGGGAAGCTGGCCCCAAATTGCTCGGACATTCCGGAATTCGAGCCGCATGCGAACGTGGGTTGCATGGATATTGCGGCTCATGCACAGCCAAGTGACGCTCAGCAGTGTGCGAGTCCACGCGATGGTCTCCATGACGTTGTGCAGAGTCCATTGGTGGGCGAGCAGCATAGTTGGAAGTTTTCGGATGCATCGGTCCCGCGGGGTACATTTCCGATGGCATTTGCGTTGATGCGGCCGTCCCCGGCGGATACATTCGCGACGAGGTTTGCACTGAGTTGGCCGTACCTGGCGGATACATTTCCGACGATACTTGTGTTGGCGCGGCCGTGCCTGGCGGATGCATTCCGGATGACGTTTGCGTTGACACGCCAATGCCGGGAGAGTATGTCATCTCTGACATTTGCGTTGGGGCGGCCGTTGGCGGGGGATACAGCTGCGGACACCGTTGCGCTGATCGTTGTGCACAAGGGGAAGGGTGCTGTCGCGAATTGGGATATGCAGGGGCTTGATACGAGGGTCGGCTGGGCAAAGGCTCCGGCGGAGCGTCGCGACGCGGAACTGCATTCTTCGCCCAGTTTGGTAGCTCTTCTGGACTAGGCTTGGGATAGGCGGGCTGCGAAGGGATGTAGGGCTGAGTGACCTCGCTCGGTGGAAGAGTCTGAGGAGGCGGGGCAGGCTGCTCGTATTCCACGGGGGTCAAAACAGTTTCCGGTGACGTGCCGGCACTAAAAGAGGCACCGTTCGGTACGACAGGGCGCGAATCGGAATGAGAAAAGTTGCGAGATTGAGGTGGTAGCTCCGGCGGCCGAGCGACTCGGACCTGAGCGTCGGGATGCGGCGACGCGGCTGGCACGGAGGCGTTTGCAAACTTGGGGGCGACGTCGTCTTTGGCAGGTGGCAGCGGGGGTGTAGCCACGTACTCGCGCTCAAGCGGGAGGTTCGGGGGGTCTGCATTGCGGACGTGGGCGTACTCCTCCTCCTCCCCCTCCTCCCCTTTCCCCCCCTCCTCCTCGCACGGGGTGCGATGCGGGGTGCGATGCGGGGTGCGATGCGGGGTGTGTGGGTCGGGGCCGCACGCGGCGATGCGTGCTTGCAGCGTGTGCTCCTCCGGCGGCTGCAAGAAGCGCTCCTCCTCGACGAGGTGGGTGGGGTGGTCGTCATCCGGCGCGCGGTCCCTGGCGCGCAGGTCGTCCTGCAGGGCGCGGTGGTGGTCCACGGCCTCCTTGAACGCGCCGTTGGCGTCCTGCACGCGCGTGCTGAGGGCGAAGTCAGCGGGGTTGCGAGCGTCGGCGTGCTCGCCGACGCGCGTGCCCAGGAGGTCGAGGGCGACGGCGAGGCGGTCGAGGATGGGTGCGACGGCTGCGCGCGAGTCGCGCTCGAGGCGCATCATGCGGG